AAAAAAAAAAAAAAAAAAAACAGTTATGCTCCACAGCCTTGAATCAATGTGACAAATCAACCCTGGGTATCCCTTCAGGGGGCCTGGAGACTGGAATTATAGAGTTCTATAGTCACCAAAGGAGTGCTGGTGGCAGAGCTGTTCAAGCATTAGGTGCTAACAAAAACGTTAGCAGTTTGAACCCATCAACTGTTCTGTAGGAGAAAGTACAAGACAGTTTGCTTCCATAAGGATTACAACATTGGAAAGCCTAATGGGGCAGTTCTAATCTATCCTGTAGGGTTGCTATGAGTTAGTTTTGTCTACTTGACAGCAATGGGTTTGGTTTATTGCACTTATCAGATTTGAAAATTGTGAACAGGGAGTATAAAATTATTCACCAGAGATAAAGAAATAAAAAAAATATATCAGTTTTATTTTATAAGCAGTTACAAGAATTGAGAATAGATAACAAAGGAAGCAGGGAAGAGAAAGGCAGACACACATACACACAAACTGAGAAAGATGCTTATAAGACAGATGGAGAAAAAGGGAAAGATGTCTCAGAACTAGCATTCTCATCTTTGGCCTTATTATAGCCACTGTCAACTTTCAAGATGGTGTAGCATTCTTACAAATACGAGACCTTCCTGTGGTACTAATCTCCTGGGTCATTTGGAATCTTAAAGAGATTAATTGTTTTGCTTTCAGAGTCCCTAACCATCTTCCAGGCAAGAGTGGGTCTACTATTTTTTTTTAAACTCCTTTCAACAAGCTGAATGGTATTCTGTCTCTAGTTTATGCCTGATAACAACCTCTCTTGTCTTTTCCCTTGGTAAGATTAACTGCAACGGCTTTACTCTCAGCGATCAGAGAGGCCTACAGGCAGTGGGTGTGGGCATCTTCCCCAACCTGGCTCTGGTGAACCATGACTGTTGGCCCAACTGTACTGTCATATTTAACAACGGCAAGTGAGTATTTCTTTACTTGGGGGTAATGTGATGGGGATGGGGAGACTTTATAGTGTTTTTTCTACTTGACTTAAACCAAAGGAAAACTGCTGAACTTGAACTAGCAGGGATTTCAAATGTGCAGCAAATAGAAATCTCATTTTAGAATAAGTGTGGGTAGGAGAAAGGTAATGGGAAGGATATCAAATAATTCTACATCAGTTATTTTTGAGTCTTTGCATGTTTTTGAGGCTGCCTAGATGTGTTAGAAAAACCTCTAATTACTATTTTAAAACTTGAAGCCTGGGATTAACTCCTTAGAGGTCATTGCAGAACAACATGGAATGAGAAGGGGACTGTCAGGAGCATATATCAGTCAAGGCTGTGGTGGGAATCAAAAAGCACACCTGCTCAAAAGGGTTTATCAGAAGAGAATTTAATAGAGAATTTAACAAAGAGACAGTTTTCAGACTGTGAACAGGGCTTAAGGAACCAACAAGGAATGATAAGTGTCCAGGATCTAATAACATCATGAGACCATTACTACTTCCGGACCTGAGGGGCAAGTGGAGGAAGCATTATTACGGCAGCTGGTGAGAGCCAAAGCCATGGAAAGGGGGCCACTTAGTAAGAGCTGTGACTGTGGAGAAACCTGGCACTGTTAGAACCATAGTGTGGCAGAGAAGAGCTAGGAATAAAAACCCCAACCTTTAAATCCTCCTACCATCAAATCTTCTTTCATTGACTGAACCTCAATTAGAAGGCAGAGGGCAAAGGAACTTGGATGCTATAGCCCTCAGAGCTCAGTCTCCTCAACCTTAAAGGCACAAGTCAGGAGAAAAGAGCAAAGAATGGGTCTTGGGGGTATAAATGGAGAAAATCAGCAGGGGGAAAGAGCCCCTGGTTGTCTATGGCTCAGGCTGAGTAGATCTAGGGGAAAAATATTATTTCTTTTGCTCTTAGAGAAAAGCTCTTATGACAGATGCAAGTTGACTCTGAGCCATCAACAATAAGCAGGTTTCTCCCCCAAATTTCCTGGAAGTCAAAGACAATAGTTTCTAGTTTTCAGCTGAGAACAAGGCTAAACTGCAATGTAGAAAACACTCTGATTTTTCCTTCTTATTTCTGTCAGCAAAGGTCTACATGACAGTCCACCACTTGTCTGTTAGTTTATTGTATTGTGGTGGCTTGCATGTTCCTGTGATACTGGAAGCTATGTCATTGGTATTTCAAACACCAGCAGAGTCACCCATATTAGACAGATTACAGTGGACTTTGCAAATGATGAGAGACTAAATAGGAGGACCTGGTGATCTACTTCTGAAAAAATTGGCCAGTGAAAACCTTATTAATAGCAGTGGAACATTGTGCCAGAAAATGAGCTACTCAGGTTGGATGACACTCGAAACATGACTGGGAAAGAGCTCCTCTTCAAAGTAGAGTCAACTTCAGTAATGTGGATGGAGTAAAGCTTTTGGGACTTTCATGTAATGATGTGGCACAACTCAAAATGAGAAGAAACAGCTACAAAGATCCATTAATAATCAGGATATGGAATGTATGAAATATGAATCAAGAAAAATTAAAAATCATCAAAAGTGATATGAATGCATAAAAATCGATAGTCTAGGCATTAGTGAGTTGAAGTAGATTGATATTGACCATTTTGAATTGGACAAAAATATGATCTATACTGGGAATGACAAGTTGAATAGGAATGGTATTGTATTCAAGATCTATCTTGAAGCACAACACAACAATGGTCAGAAATAGGATAATATCCATATGACTACAAGGAAGACCAGTTAATACAATTATTTTTCAAATTGATGTACCAACCACTAATGCTAAAGATGAAGAAATTGTACATTTTTACCAACTTTTCAGCCTGAAAGTGATCAAATATGTAATCAAGATGTATTGATTATTACTGGTGATTAGAATGTGAAAGGTGGAAAGAAAAAGAAAGAATGGTAGCTAGAAAATATGGCCTTGGTGATAGAATGATATTGGAGATCATATGCTAGAATTTTGCAAGACCAACAACTTACTCATTGCAAATACCTTTTTTAACGACATAAATGGTGACTATACATGTGGCCTCCCTGGGTGGAATACATGAGAATCAAATTAACTACATCAAATCAACTATATCATAAGACTCTGTTTCATAATCAAAACCAATGGAAGCAGCAGTCCAGACAACAGATGATGTATTGCACCTAAGGTGTGCCTAACATAAGCCATGGTATTTTCAATCACCTCACATGCCTGTGAGAGCTAGACAATGAATAAGGAAGACTGAAGAAGAGTTTTGAGTTGTGGCATTGGCGAAGAATACTGAAAGTACCATGGACTGCCAAAAGAACTAACAAATCTGCCCTGGAAGAAGTGCAGCTGGAATTCTCCTTGGAAGTGAGAATGGCTAGATTTCATCTCACCTACTTTGGTCATGTTGTCAGAAGGGACCAGTCCCTGGAGAAGTATATCATGCTTGGTAAAATGGAGGATCGATGAAAAAGGGAAAGGCCCTCAATGAGATGGTTTGACACAGTGGCTGCAATGATGGGCTCAGGTATAGCAAGGATTGTGAAGCTGGCACAGGACTGGGCAGTGTTTCATTCTGTTGTACATAGGGCTGCTATGAGTTAGAGGCAATTCTACTGCACCTAACAGCAATAACAATACATCTGTGGAAAGAGATAATGGAGAAGCTCAGTATCATCAGACAGAATAAGAGCAGGGGCCAATTGCAGAACAGGCCATCAATTGCTCATATGTAAGTTCTGGTTGAAGCTGAAGAAAATTAAAACAAGTCCATGAGAGCCAAAATGTGACCCTGAGTATATCCCACCTAAATTTAGAGACCATCTGAAGAATAGATTTGACAGAAGACCAGATGAGTTGTGGGATGACATAAAAAACATGAAGAAACCAAAATGTTATTAAAAAGATAGATAAAAAAGAAAGGACTAAAATGGATGTCTGAAAATACTCTGAAACTTGCTCTTGATCAGAGTAGCTAATGGAAAGGAAGAAATGATGAAATAAAAGAGCTAAACAGAATATTTCAAAGGGCAACTGGAGAAGACAAAGTAAAGTATTATAATGAAATATACAAAGACCTGGAATTAGAAAACCAAAAGGGAAGAACATGGTTGGCATTTCTCAAGCTGAAAGAACTGAAGAAGAAGAAGAAGAAAAAAAAAAAAAAAAACCCACGAGTTTCAATACTGAAGGATACTATGGGGAAAATATTGAGTGATGTAAGAAGAATCAAAAGAAAATGAAAGGAATGTATAGAGTCACTGTACCAAAAATAATTGGTTGATATTCAGGAAGTAGCAGATGATGAAGAATTGATGGTATTGAAGGAAGAAGTCCAAGTTGCACTGAATGCATTGGTGAAAAACAAGGTTCCAGGAAGTGAAGGAATGCTCATTGAGATGTTTCAACAAATGGATGCAAAGCTGGAAGTGCTCACTTGTTCATGCCAAGAAATTTGGAAGATGCTACCTCACCAAACAGCAAGTGATCCAACAGAATATGGGAAGTATTGAACAATAGTGTTACTATCACACACAAGTAAAATTTTGCTGAAAACAATTCAAAAATAGTTGTAGCAGCGCATCGACAGGGAACTGCCAGCAATTTAAGCTGGATTCAGATAGGCATGGGGAATGAGGGATATCATCCCTGATGTAAGATGGATGGTGGCTGAAAGCAGAAAATGCCAGAAAAATGTTTACCTGTGTTTTATTGACTATGAAAATACATCTGATTATTTGGATCATAGCAAATTATGAATAACGTGAAGAATGGGAATTCCAGAACACTTAACTGTGCTCATGCAGAGTCTGTACATAGATCAAGAGGCAGTCATTCAAACAGAGTAGGGAGATAGTGAGTGGTTTAAAATCAAGAAAGGTGTGTGTCAGAGTTGTCTCCTTTCACCATATTTATACGATGTGTATACTGAGCAATGGAGTTACACTGAAGGAATTGGTGGAAAACAAGGCTCCAGGAATTGAAGGAATACCCATTGAGATGTTTCAACAAATGGATGCTCTGCTGGAGGCACTCACTCGGCTATGCCAAGAGATTTGAAGACAGCTACCTGGCCAACAGACTGGAAGAGATCCATATTTATATCCATTTCAAAGAAAGGTGATTCCACAGAACGCAGAAATTATTGAACAATATCATTAATATCACATGCAAGTAAAATCTTAACTAAAGATAATTTAAAAAAATGGTTGTAGCAGTATATTGACAGAGAACTTCCAGAAATGCAAGCTGGATTCAGAAGGGGATGTAGAACAAGGGATATCATTGCTGATGTCAGATGGATCCTGGCTGAAAGCAAAGAATACCAGAAAGATGTTTACTTGTATTTTATCGACTACGCAAAAGCATTTGATTGTGTGGATAATAACAAATTATGGATAACATTGAGAAGAGTGGGAATTCCAGAACACTTAATTGTACTCATGAGCAACCTGTACATAGACTTGGAGACTGTTGTTTGAACAGAACAAGGTGATACTGCATGGTTTAAAATCAGGAAGAGAGTGTGTCAAGGTTGCATCCTTTCACCATACTTATTCAATTTGTATGCTAGGCAAATAATCTGAGAAGCTGGACTATATGAAGAAGCACATGGCATCAGAATTGGAGGAAGACTCATTAACAACCTGCGATGTGCAGATGATACAACTTTGCTTGCTGAAAGTGAGGATAACTTGAAGTACTTACTGATGAAGATTGAAGACCACAATGTTCAGTAAGGATTAACACCTCAACGTAAAGAAAATGAAAATCTTTACAACTGGACCAATTAGCAATATCATGATAAATGGGAAAAGATAGTTTTCAAGGATTCAATTTTATTTGGATCCACAATCACCACCCATGGAAGCAGCAGTCAGGAGATGGAATGACATATTTCATTGAGCAAATCTGCTGCAAAAAACTTCTTTAAGTGTTAAAATGCAATGATGTCACTTTGAGGACTAAGGTGTGCCTGACCCAAACATGGTATTTTCAAGCACCTCATATGCATATGAAAGGTGGACAACAAATAAGGAAAACCAAAGAAGAATTGAATTATAGTGTTGGTGAAGAATACTGAATATACCATGGACTGCCAGAAGAATGAACAAATCTGTCTTGGAAGAAGTACAGCCAGAATGCTCCTTAGAAGTGATATTTTTTTTTTCCACCTTTTCTGTTTCCCTTCCTGAGTCTCACTGGCCTGGCTGGACCTCATACAATCCTCCCAAGAGGGCCTGTTGTCTGAGCTTAGCTTGGTTGATAGGATCAAATTCAGGCACGTTTAGGGTGGGTTTTTCTAGGCGCCATTCCACTGAGTGGAGATGATCCAGAGCTCCATTTACATCTAACAACCACAGGAACCTGGAAACCTGTTCTTCAGATCATCTCTGATTCCTGCTCTGGCTTTTTTGTGCCTGCTCATTTAGAGCATGAGCTTCTTGGCTGCTGGACAAATGAAAGTGACTTTGTAGTCACTGCCTAGTTGTCTGTTATAGTGGAAACAACCCTGGTGTTTCCACTGACACGGTGTTACGAGCTCAATGCTAAGCCCAACAATTTTCACATATTACTGTGTGACCTGGAGTCTCTGCGTGGTGCACATGGTTAAGCATTTGACTGCTAAAAAGTAGTTTGAAAGGGTAGCAGTTTGAACACAAAAGGAGGCACCTCAGATGAAAAGCCTGGGAATCTGTCATGGGATTGGTCTCCATGAGTTGAAATTGATTTGATTACAAGTGGCTCTTCTTGTTTATTTGCTTATATGACCTAACCAGTCCGCAGACAGAGTTCAAACTTTCCCCAAGGCGGACATCAAAAAAGGCAATGTTTATTCCTTTAGGATTCTCATTGGCAAGATAATAATAACACCCCATATGTTTTTCAGCACTCTACTTTTAAATGCATTGTCTCATGACAGTCTCATTACCAAGTAACAGATGAGAACAATGAGACCCAGGGAAGTGAAGTAATTTGTTCAGGCTAAGTACCATTGAACCCAGAACTTCTCTGCTAAATCCAGTGAACTTTCCATTATACCAGGCTGTGTCTTGTTGTGTAAGCCCAACTAGAAGGTACTAGGATAAAGGTGGTTGTGATGGCCAAAGCTTTGTTTGCTTAACCCAGAATGCTGTGTACTCTTTCTAGCCATACTGAATTACCCAGTTGTAATGATTTCTGTTTGGGTGTCTGTTTTGTCTTTCAGTCATGAGGCAGTGAATTCCATGTTTCACACCCAGATGAGGTGGGTCAGTCCTTTCAAGTGCCCTTGTTCCTCTGACCCATCTCCCTTTTGGCCTGTTTGCTGGGGCCACCCCTTCCCAAGACTCCTTGGCTGCTGACCGTTTGTAATGATCTTCTGAACCCCAGAGTCTCTACCGACTGGTGCATTTTTAAAATACATTTAAATTAATCATTTTGGTTTTCACCCCATCCACCACATGCCCTGCCTTTGTTTACTTTGTTCCCTTTCTTGTTATGCTTCCATGCCTCTTTTCTCTCACTCCTCCAATCTCGAAGCATGAAAGTCCCTTCTTGTCAACATCATTTTAGCAAGAGCCTACATCATCCTCTAACCCTGCTTACATGAAATGAGGACTGCTGATACTACTGACCTACTAATGGAGTGTGTGTTTGTTCATAAACCCCCATTCCTCATCCATACTGGGTTCTGAAAACAGCACCAACAGCTGACATTTTTGATAAATATTTATTCACAGAATTCTGTTCACTGTTTCTGGCCAACTGTGAATTAGTAGTTTAGGTTAGATTTTACATTTGACTCTTCTTATTGCAAGTCAGATGGCCGCAGACTGGTCTTTTTCTCAGGCTAGTCTTGAAAGTATGTGAAATGGTTTTTGGATTAAAAACAAAATACTAGTAGTAGCTCAATTAGCTGAACTACAGAACTGTACACTTTAGAGATGGAAGAAGGAACCTTAGTGGCGCAAGGGATAAATGCTTGGCTATAACTGATAGCACATTTGGAATCCACCAGCTACTCTGCAGGAGAAAGATGTGACAGAATGCTCCCATAAGAACAGCCTTGGAAAACTTACGAAGCAGTTCTGCTCTGTCCTATAGGGTCTTTATGAGTCAGAATCAACTCAATGGACTCAATGGCATACTACAACAGATTTGGAAGGGGCCTAGGAGCTCTGGTGGCGTAGTGCCTAAGGCATTTGACTGCTGACCAGAGGGCTGGTGGTTCAAACCCACCAGCCACTCCTCGGAAGGAAGATTGGGCAATCTACTTCTGTAGTGATACCATCTTGGAAACCCAAGGAGGGATCACTATGAGTTGGATCCTAGTCGATGGCAGTGAGTTTGGTTTTTTGGTTTGATTTAAGGCCCCGGGTGGGGAAACAACTTCTCCCTGATCCAAAGCTGGTTGGAGGAAGACCAGAGTTAAAATCCTTATCTGCTAACTCCCCCTTCAGTGCCCATTTCACAGTGGTCACCTTTCATCCTTTAGTCCCCAATTTCAGGTATGGTAAGATAGGGCATACATGTACAAATTTTTTTTTTCATATGTAAGTGTTTTTAAATTAATTTGGTTTGAAAATTCTCTAACACCACTGAAATAATTTGAGGCACGGCAAGAATTGGCTTAACCATGATGGGAAGCAAAACTCCTGGAAATCTTAACCCAATTGGCTACTGAGAGCTGCCTCTGTAAAAGGGGATGATGGAGGTAGGATTGCTTATTTATCTTACCAGGCCAAACAACAGAGATCCGTATTAAACCCTGGACCAAGACTTACTCACATGGAACTAGTTAGGACATTATCCATTGCCACTGAGCCAATTCTAACCCATGGCAATCCTATAGGACAGGGTAGAATTGCCCCATAGGGCTCCCAAGGCTGTAATCCTTTTTTAAAAAATTTCCTTGTGATTTCGGTGAAAGTTTACATAGCAAATACATTTTCCATACAGAAGTTCATACACATTTTGTTTCATGACATTGATTGCAGTTCCCACAATGTAACAGCTCTCTTCCCACTTAATTCCTTTAGTTACTTTTCTGTGCCCTTTCCTATGCATTCTTGTCCCCTGAGCTATCTCCATGTGCAGATACTGTCCTTCTGATCTCCCATGATTGATCATTCTAACAAGTGTATCTACCTGGTGTAAATATTCACCTTATATGCCTGTCTATTGTTTGGCTGGAATCCACAGGAGTGACTTCAATTCCAGACCTGAAGGGTAACTAGGGGCCATAGTCTCAGAGGTCTCACTAGGCTCTAGCATACCAGCAAACCTGTTTTTTTTTTTTTTTAAATGATTTTGACTTTTTCCCACATTGTTCTCCCACTCTATCCAGGATCTCCTGCACTGACCCTTTCTGGTTGACAGTAGTGACCAGGCAACATCTAATTCTTTTGGTCTAATAGTCATATAGGCTGACGTTTGCATGGTCCACTAGTCCCTTGCACTAATTGTTTCCACGTGTCTTTAGTTTTCTTCATTTTTCTTTGCTCTGGATGAGGAGAGACCCATTGTTGCATCTAGATGGCTGTTTGCAACCTTTTAAGACTCCAGTCACTACTCACCAAAGCAGAATGTGGAACAATGTTTTTGTGTAGTATGTTATGCCAAGTGCTTTGAACTTTGACTTCTAGCCTCCTAAGCTGTAAGAGAATCAATCCCTGTTTGTTCAAGCCCTTCTACTTGTGGTATTTTCTGTTAGAGCAGAACCAGAGGACAAAAACACCAACCTTTGATTTTTAGTCTGTTTTTGTTTTTGTCTCTTGTAAACAGAATATTGATGAGTAATGTTTTCTTATCCAGTCTGCAACTCTCCATCTCTTGAGTAGTGTATTTAATCCATTTACATTCAGTGTAATTATTGACAAGTATGAATTTGTTGCTGTCATTTTGTTGTATGTATTTTCATGGTGTTGCTGATTTCTTTGTTCCATATAATTTTCTGTGCTGAACTCATTTTCTTTATGAATCATGTTATCATTTTGTTTGTTGCTGTTGTTTAAGTGTTTGCTAAACATTTGTGCCAGTCCTCTTTTTCATTTTGATACAAAGGTTTATTATTTTTCTTTGAGGTTACCCTGTGATTTATGATTTTCTTCCTATGTTTAGAACAGTCTGTTCTATCTCGCAATTGTCTTGACTTCCTCACCATTTAGAAGTTCTGTAACTGCACTATTTATTCTCTCTTTTTGGTTTGATGTTGTCCTCATTTACAAATTTCTGTTTCTGGTTCCCTGTTTCCAGTCTTGTAAACTTATTTTATTTTGGATACTTCCATAACTGCATTTGTTTCTGGGTTATGTCATCATGTGTGTTAATCATCAATTGTTGTCTGCTGTTATTGGTTCTCTGTCTGAAGGACTCCCTTAGCATCTCTTGTAAGGTTGGTCTGGTTTTAACAAATTTCCTTAATTTCTGTTTATCTGAAAATGTCCTAATTTCACCATCATATTTGAGGGACAATTTTGCTAGGTATAAAATTCTTGGTTGCCATTTTTTTCCTTTCAGGGTTTTATATATATCATCCCATTGCCTTCTTACCTGCATGGTTTCTCTCAAGAAATCAGAGCTTACTCTTAATGGTTGCCTTTTGTAGGTATTTTTTGCTTGCTGCTTTCAGGATTCTTTCTTGTCTTTGGTTTTGGTGATTTTGATTATGATATGTCTTGGTGATTTTCCTCTGGGATCTATCCTGTTTATGATTCATTAAACTTCTTGAATTTATATCTTCTTGGCTTTCATCAAATTAGGGAAATTCTTTTCCAACAAATCTTTGATAATTTTCTCTGTGGTTTTATTTGTCTCTTCCTGTTTTGGAATTCTGATTACACATAAGTTATTCCTCTTGATGATATCCCACATAAGTCTTAGGCTTCTTCTCTTTGTTTTGATCTTTTTTCTGATTGATCCCTTAACAAAGTACTATTTAGGTATTTGTCTTCAATCTTTCTTATTTTGTCTTCCATTAGTCTATTTTACTCTTTTGCCCATTCCATGTGTTATCTATTTCTGAAATTTTAATATTGATCTTCTGAATTTTTATTTGTTGTTTTCATGTTGTTGTTGTCGTTGTTATGTGCCGTCGAGTCAGACCCGACTCATAGCAATCCCTCCTTGGGCTTCCAAGGCAGTATCACTATGGAAGTAGATTGCCCCATATCATTTCTAATTTTTTGTTTATTTTATCAGTTTGTTCTTGTATTGTTTTCCTAAATTGTTCTAGAGTTTTGTCTGTGTGTTCCTTAATTTTGTCAGTGTTTTCCTCGATCTGTCTCTCAATCTGTTGAAGCTACCGAAATATAATTCTTTTGAATTCCTTATGAGGGAGTTACAATGCCACTTCTTTCTCAGGGAAGTTTTCTGTGTCTGTATCCTGGTCCCTTGTTTGTACTACTTTATCTTGCTTCTTTGTGTGGACTGGAATAGTCAGTTGTCTCTAAGACACTGTGATGTCATTGTATTAATATTTAATTGGTGATTGTATGTTGGTGTGATTCACTCAAGATTTATTATTATTTATTTTGTTTTGATAAATCTGAGTGAACAGGGTCCTGTGTGCCTCTATTCTCTAGTTGGCAGCATGTAGACACTCACCACCTGTCTCCTGGTGGGAGTGATAGAGAATGAGAGTGTGTGCACAGATCTCTGTTAACTGTTCATGAAGAGCAGTTAAGGGTGAGTTGTGTTGGTATTGGCCACTGTATATTGCTGGTCGGTTGGTGCAGAACCAAGTGTTGGCTCTCACTCAGTGGGTGGGGCTGCAGGAGACACATGTATGGTTGAGTTGTATGGGCACAGTTGCTATCTCCCATTCAGTCAGACAATAGATAAAATAAATAAATAAATAAATAAATAAATAAATAAATAAATCTACCAGAAAAATAAAATAAAATCAAGAGAACAAAAAACACAGACCACATAAATAACAAGGAAGAATTGTGAAACAAAAAAGGTAGGCAATAAATGAGAAGAAGTATTTTTAGAAAAGACAAAAGAAAGAGAAAGATAAAAAGAGAGAAAAATGTTACAGTATCTGGGGAGTGGGGAATAAGAGAAAAGAGCAAGAGTAAAAGAAATGTAAAGAAAAATGAGGAAATTGTAAAAAGAAAAAAATAAGGATGGGAAGAACCAAAAGAAGAAAGGAGAGAAAAAAGAAGAGAACAAGGAAAGGGAAGATAAAAACAAAAACAAAAACAAGGACCCAAGAAGGAAAATAATAAAAAAATGAAAGTGAAAAACTGAGGAAGAAAAAAA